TTTATGAGATGGTTTCCTCTGCAACAGATGTCATTCTACAGACATGTATTGATTCACTTTTGTTGTGTCTTTCAGGTTGCGACATGGAACCCAAGCCATCAAGATTGCCAAGACGGATAACAGTCCAGCCTTCCCATTCCTCACCTTTAACAACCAGGATGTTTAGAAGTGGCAGGCTAGGAGGTCAAAGTGAAACATATCGCACTAGTGATAGTTCATTGAGACATGACTCAGAGTTTCCGGTGAGAATGCATAAGCTTTTAGCCATTAAATAACTGTTCAAATACAGGCACTGAAAAGTTTAGTGATCTGAGTAGATACACGTGTGGGCAACAGACACTTGGTGTCTAATAAGAATGCAGAATGTACAATCGGCCATACTGACATCTTGCCTATTTCACCTTTACCAGCTTTGTCTACCCATAGACATAGGGTGGTGCCAACATGACTTGTGCCCTGTTCTTGTTTTGTTCCTAGTCTCATATAAGCCATATAAAAGCAAAGAAACAAGTTCTCAAACTGCAGTGGTCCAAAATAGTATCATCCATGAGCTCTCAGTCCACATACAGGGCTTCCTTTTTTCTTTTCTTTATGGGGCTGGTAGAAGCAGGATCATAAATTAATATTCCTGATCACTGATTGCATGATTTTCTTATCTGAACAGTCAACTGAAAAACCTAGGTTCTTAATGGACAACCACCTTGTGTCTCTGGGTAGACTTGGTGTTTGCATCTGCTCCTTGAACCTCCCTGTTTTATGGGAAACCTAGATGGAGATTGTACACTGGATAACAATTATAGCCAAGCAACTAGTGGGCTTACCAATGATAGTATATATGCTCTACCATTGGTGACCTTCTAAAAATACTAGTTATTTTGCTGTAGTGGTTATCCGGTGGCTTCACAGAATCCAAACTAACATTCAGCAGTGAGTGAGGTCACATCACCTGTAAACAAGCTCTCTGAGTTTGACCGATTCTAAAGCTGGTAAATCGGTGAGACAGCTCAACCACTAGTATTGTCAGGAGCAGAGGTCAGTAATGACTGTCAGTACAGGGTTATATGAAAAAAGATAGACAGACTGAATACATACAGGGCTAGTCACAAAAGGGTGAAGAGTTTGTGCACTTCAATCTAGTACAACATATCTGAAGTGGAGACCTTCCCCCCGCCCCACACCCCCCCCTC